GTATGTGATGAATCTCATTAATTTCTAGACAACCAAAGGTTCAAAACTTACAAAAAAGTTATTTACCTGCCATTTCTACTTTTCTCAAACTTCGCCAGCATAATTCTTTAACCCTAAGTTACTCTAACCACCCGACCTCTTCTTCGCTTCTCCACCAAATGCAGGATAGGGTCCTATTTCACTCTTATTGCTCTCAAATTTCCCCGGTGTAATACTTAGCCCTAATTTACTCCAATCATACCAACTTCTTCTTCACTTCTCCACCAAATTTCCCCTCTCCCATGCAATGGAGAGATAGGGTCCTAAGTCCATCTAAGGCTAGTCTATTAGGATTTAGGAGGCAAAATTTCTTCTCCGTCTCCTTCTTTTTTTTCAATAATTGTTTGAATTCTCCATTTCGTGTAAATTTTTTGTTTTGTTACATCATCAACGTGTTTTGGTCTTCTTCTTATTTTGAATTCAACCACCTTTATGCATATCATATCACATAAAACACTATTTGATTATCCTAAAAAATGTTTTCAAATGGTTTTATTTTTAAAAACACACTATTTGAATTTTTCTAGTTGTATATTAATGTCCAAATATTGTGATTAATTTTTCTTCCAAAGATAGAATGAAGAAGGCAAATTGGCATAGACAAATTTGCATATTTCCCCTCTCTTTTTTTTCATTTTTTAATGATTGTCGAGCTCATGTTAAAATGTGTTAATATTTGTTTGAACCTCCAGATTCCAGATAATAAGCCAGTGGAATCAATGGTCAATTGTTTAGACCTCCTTATTCAATATAATAAGCCAACAAAATCAATCGTTAAATTTTTAATAATTCATCTCATTATGTATTATATTATTGAGTTTTGATCTGACAGCTTGCCATACACCCTTGCCTTGCCAATCAGATATGGTACATTTAGTACATTTGATTTGATTAGTAAGATGACTTTAGTGATGATACAATTCTTATTTATACATTCTTTTGGCGACCTCGAGAATTAGGAAATAGGTTCTAATCCTTAATGGGAGTCTCCAACAAGAACTGACATATGCATATATAATGGGAGATGGAGATGACCTGTGCTCTGCATATAATGGGAGTCTTCAATTAAGCAGAAAACATACGGTGAGTTTGGTGACAACTATGAGAGGGTAAAGACCAAAAGGGAGACCAGGGTTTTGTTTGACTATTTGAACTTTGAAATCAAATCAAATAATAAGGAAACAAGGTAACAAAAGGTAACAAGTGTTAGTGAGAATTTTTTTATTTATCTCTTAATATGAACATCGTCGTTAACTATAGTTTGCTTTTATCGTTAAAATAATTGCTCTTATCATTAAACTAACTGACTATAGTTAGTTTGTTTTCATCAGTGAACTAACTGAGGTTTGAAAGGTTTAGAAGGATTAGGATGAGTTAGGTTAGTATGGACACTTGTTAGTTTGAAAGAGAATGAGATAGAAAGTGAGACAGAGAGTAAGATGGATGATCCATTGTGGGCTAAATTTAGTGGTACAAAAAGTGACAGATAAATGTTTATGCAAAATTAGGCACAATGGCTTTATCATTGTAGCAACTAGTGCTAAATGCATACTCAATTTGAAATGCATAATATTATGATGAATGAATTTCATATAAAGTTTTCATTGTTAAAGTAGTGTTTGAAACTTATACTATATATATAATATGTTCTTATCTTAATTACTATTTTAGTAATTATAACACTTCACAATATTTTATATAGTAGACACAAGAAATGGTATCATGTTTATTGCTAGCCATACACATAATCAGTTAATGTTTGAAAGTTATACTTTATATATACTTATCTAGAATTATTATTTAGTAATTATATCACTTTACAATATTTCATACAATAGACATAAGAAAGCATATTATAGCTTTAATGGTTGCCACCTAGCTAGGGTTTAGTTTTTGACAATTCTTAAAAATTTGCACACGTACATTTGTTAGAGCATTTGATTTTTAGTAATTATCTTATTTTAGTAACTTCACCACCAATCAATCTTTAGTAAATATTCCATTTTAGGAACTTTAGGAACAATTTTGGCCACCAATATTGCCACCCTCAAATTGTGACTGTTGTGGCTCCATCATCTCTATATTATGAGAGCTCTCAGGAATTGTGCTGCTACTAGTATGCTCGAATCCCTCATCCATGCTGCCCTCATAGTCTCATTTGCCTTACAAAACAATGTGGTAGAATAGTTTGAAGAGAGAGAGCTTAACATAAATATATATAGTGCTGAATTGATGTCAATAACTAATTAATTATCTTATCATGTTGGACTTCCAACGGTAGCATTATTCTCCCCTCATGAGCACTATTCTCTTTGTCATTTTCACTGCTCTCTTTCCTAGATACTGGTACCCTGTACAATAAAATTGATCAAATTTAAAGAAATGCAAATATAGTTTGGAAAATGCAGTATAACATTTCATCAACACCCCGAACTTAATGAATTGTGTTATTTGTTTGAATTGAGTTATATATTTATCACAAATCTTACCTACGTCGTCTAGAACTCCTTGTCCTACCTCGCAATGAAGTCAAGATTGTTGGATCTGGATAACACATGTAGAAACCATGAAAATAAATCTGAGTGCTAAAGTAATGAGGTTCTCTACATGGAAAGTGAGTCGATTTGTAGATTGATCATGTTACTTACTTGCCTTGCCTACAAGGTCGAAAGGTGATTTCTTTTATCACTAAATTCCTATAATTAACAATTGAATAGTAAAATAGAGTATGTAAATACTAGTTACAAAGTCCCCAAAAAAGAAAAAAAAAAGAGAAATAGATCAGTATCCAAATTATTCTAACCTAGGCGAGTCTTCTACCCCAGTACTTTAAGGACTGAGTTGCCAAAATCTACAGCCAAATCTTTGGTATTCTGATCACCGTATCCATCATACTTTGCGTTGATGGCTTCTAACCTTTTTCTATAATACTCCTTTTTGCTCTCAGTCAATGTCACCTCATGCTCGTGGTGCTCTTCAGTAGGCGATAACTACGTACGTTTGAATTTTTGGCTTTCTGCTCCCACATTGCCACCTTGTTACTGTTCTTGACATTGACCTTGCTGCTCTTCTTGCAGAGTGGTACCTTGGCGGTCTTCCATTTATAACTACAACTTAACCACTGAAAAATCAGGACAAACGCCCGCTGAAAAGAGAATATGTGTGATGCTAAAGGCAGTAGAAATTCCAAATCCAATTCCAAGAGAACAAGACACTGAAGAATGTTCTTGGAAGAACAAGAATCACGGAAATTAGAGAGAGAGGAAGAAGCTAGCTGATCTCTCTTGTTTTTTCCTCATTTTTATTTGCTTTAGGGCAAAAAACTGACTAACTAGCCACCAGCAATAACGCAAATAACTAACATCGACATCAACATCAACAAAATAACTGTCAAGATTCCCTTGACATTCCCTATTGATTACAATCAAGAATTGCTAACTCTGATAATCAATCATCAAACCATGCAAAAATAACAAAATAACTCAATAATGCATCAGAATCCAAATTAATTTCGTGCGTTAATTATATAAAAAATGTACATCACAACATATGTCTACACAGTTTAGCACCTTGAACGAGATCATGCATGCATGCAGACATGCATGGCAAGTAGAAAACAATACAAGAAACAAGAAGAATTAAGATGTATGCAAAATAATTACCTCGCTAAATGGCTTGATCCCAAGATGTGAAGTAACTGCAACTTGTTTGAGATTTTAGAATTTCTAGGTGGACAAAGACAAACATGGCCTCCTATTTATAATGACCTTTTGATTGAAAATTGGGTTTCAAGAACTTCCAATTTTTGCTTTTGGAAGGTGGACAAAGTTTCGTGCATGTCCAACCTTATGGAAGCGTTCTATATATTTTCTTTGATGTTTTTCATTTACGGAAACCGCTCTAATCCTCTTCAAGTCATGAAAACGAAGAATTAACAAATTTGAAGTAACATAGAATTGTAAACGCATAACGCAACTAGAATATAATTTTGGTTAATATCCTTGTGACTTTAGTTTAATGTTGGAAAATATGTTACTCAGAACATATATGGAACTTTGATTTGAATCTATCAAACTCTATTAACTTTTGCTTGGATTTGTTCAAAGTGGTGAAAAGTGGAAATGAAGAGAAATAGAATATAGAGTTAGATTGGTTCAAACATTTTTAGGTTTTAATTTTCTCCTAACCAAACTTGAAAACTTAATCTTCGAAGTAGTTAGTAAACCAACGTATTGAAATTTACTCAAGAATCATAAGAATTATGCATAATATTTATTGATCAACATGAATAGGTACCATCACTCAATGGTAATAGAAATAAGTGTAGTATTAATTATGTTCTTTATTGGTTAAGATTGAGGCTCATAGAAATTAGAGATCCTGACTTCTAATTCTTCTTTCCTCTTTCTATTTCTTGAATCTCAACCCTCTCATCTAAATAATTATAAAAAAAAAAATCAATGTTACGCTTATCTTTTCTGTTCATGGTTGGAAAACATGGTCAATTAAGTGGTGATAACGTATTATATGAAAAAAAAATTTCTTATTGTTCAGAAACTTTATAGTTCCATTAATTTTTAATGGCATATAGTTCCATTTTTGTGAGGAAGCTTCTTTTCCATTTAGCCACGGACAAAATATCAAGTCCATTGCAAGGAAGCCTAAGCAACAGTCATGAGAATTGAGTTGAAAACCTTAAAAGTAGAATTTACAGGGATGGAACAGATGAAATAAATAAAACAAAAGCAAAATTTTGTCCAAAAACTTTCCAATGTATACATGCAAGTTTCAGCGCACCAGTTTGAGTTATATTAGTATAATATCTTACGTACAAGCTAATGAATGGAGGCATTGTGTAGTGTTAGTTCTTGAGTTTATTTTATCGCTTAAGTAACAAAAGATATCCATTCATGAGCATTGTTAATGAACATTATACGGTGTGATGAGATGATGAGGTATACATGTCTGGATCACTCCATCAGTTGGTGGGAAGCAAAGGTGAAGGTGAGCGGGAGGAAAAGTTACCCATTTGCAAACTTGCAGTTTCATTATAACTTGACTTGTGGAGATTTGGATGTCAGGCTGTATTTAGCTGTTAAAAAAACGGGGCATAAAAGCTTGCATTTTCAAGCCATAAGTTGAATGTGCAGATTGTATTTTGGACCACAAAATCCTTCATTGCATAATGGTGGGAGTGATTACTCGAATATGTTAGGCTTGAAATGGCCATTAACCACAAAAATAAGTGTAGCAAATTTTTTTTTTCAAACGTCACTTGGTTTGCATCGAAAATATATTTTTCAATTAATTTTTTATCTTCTCAATTATATTTTTATTTTATATACATTATATCATAAAAAGTGTTATAATAATTATTCCAAATTATCTCCAATCCAGGTACAAGGTTTCCTAACACCAGTTTAGGCTTTGACCTAATCATCATTACTATATAAAAAACATGAATCTTAGTAAAGTACTTTTTTTATCTTAGTTTTTGCTATCCCTAAATTACCCTCGTGTCTTTTAATTAGAATTATTACATTTCAATGTGCCACTAATTAAAAGAAATAAAATACTCCAATTGATTACATTTCAATAGTATTGGTAATTATAATTAAAAATTGCTCATTAAAAACTACTTACCTAACCTTGGTCTCCATCTCCAAATATTATAAGTATCAAAATTTTGTAATCGAAGCATGAAAAGTTTCTCATTAATCATTATTTGAGATTGTAAAAAAAAATCAATATAAAAAATAGATACTTTTTGGAAAAAAGAGAAACATAAGAAAAGAGCCCTTATTCATTTGTATATTTTCATACAAATATCATGAGCAAATTTAAAAATTATGCACTTTTTACCAATATGAAAAAATGAAAAAAACAAAATATAAAACAAAACTATTTCAATCAAACGAATTTTAACTAAAAATTAAATAACCAATATAAAATGATTGAGTAATATGAATAATTTACATTCTCTATTGATAACAAAAAAATGCTTAGATAAAATGTAAGTAGTCCAAAATTCATGTTTGAGGGCTTGGATTTGTCCATAATTTAAAATACGAAATGTTTGGTTCTTAATTTGTGCTGCTTATTAATAATTAATCCAATCGCTCACATCTTTCTAGATCAAAAGCCTTCGTAATTGTCAAGCAATCAAAAGTTACAATTCATGACCCAGCTTTGCATCGTGTTAACACAGGTGATTTGAGTCATCTAATTTTTTTTTTTAATTTTACTTCTAAAGTTGATGGCCCAAATATGAGTTTTGTCAACTTTGTTTCATCTGAACTATTAATTGTACTTATATAATTGTCCTAAGAAACCACTCTTTAATTTTTCTAATGTAATTATTACCATCCTATGGCATTCGACAGCATTAGTAGGTCAAAGAACCACTACGAGAGGGTCATAGGCTTTATTGCGTTACTTTATTTATGTATGTATGCATGTGTTTTGTGTGGAACACCAGAATTCAAACATGTTTATTCCAGTCTTATGAAATTGTGTGCTTGTGAACAAGGGATCAAAAGTATGGCAGCATTTTGTGCATAGAATGCTAGTGAGGTTCTTTTAATTGTGCAAAATTTGTATTAGTTGGACTCGTATTCACTTAGATTCTATTTAATAACCCAATTCAACACTAAAATTTAATGGATTTAGATCGTAATATATTTAAACATATTTGATAACAATAAAATAAAACATTTGAATTAATTAAGTGGTACTAAATTTCTTAGGTAAACTTGACAAAAAAAAATAAATGATAAACTATTCACTTATTACTTAATGTGATATACATTCAAATGTATCAGATTTAGTATTTAGAGATTCAGTAACTTAATGAATTACGATTTCATATTATAGATTTCAGAATTCAGTTTTCAAATTTCAATTTTATCAAACGCACTGCTAATTTCATACGCTAAATGTTCTTTTGTGCAATTTATCATGAACTAGAAATTTCAGTACAATTCATCTCTCAATCTTGGATATTTCAAAAGCACAGAAGAGGTGTGACATTTGGTTATCATCATTACTTAAGTCTTGTTTGATAACGTAATTCAACACATAAACTTAATAGAATTAGATCTTAATATATTCAGACCATTTGATAACCAAAAATTAAACATCTAAATTAATTAAGTGGCAATGAATTTTCTAGGCAAAATTTACTTCCAAAATTAACTGATAAGCTATTCACTTATCATTAAATGTGATATGCACCCAAATGTATTAGATTTAATACTTAACAATTCAATAATTTAATAGATTCAGACTTCAAAATTCAGTTTTCAGACTTCAATTTTATCAAACGCATTAAATATGCACTCAAAAATATTAGCATTAAATATATCAGGCACCACCATACACAGTGTCCTGGCATAAAAATCAGGACTATTAGGAGACTCACACCTCATTCCCTTAACTAAGTACCAAGCTACGGAGGCTTACCAAAGGCATAGAGGCTACACCAAATGTTGCTAGAAAATGTAGCAAGTGCTAGAAGCTTCTGGAATGTTCTAGGTTGTTCAAGAGATTTGTGGAAATGGCCTAGAGCCTTGTAGATAAGAGTGGTTTTGTGTACATACTTCTAGAGATTAAGTGTAGACACACATTGTGTAGAATTCTCTAAAGAATTGTATAGTTTTCTTTGCTTGCTTATAAATAGGCAAAACTCCTTCATTTGTAACCCAACTTTGGGAACATTGAAGTATTCATAAGTGTAATACAAAGCTTTTCTTTGCTTCCAATACTTTCTTTCTTCACTCACTACTTTAGTTTAAATCTTGACTGATCGCTAGTGCCGTAGGCGTAGCCCGTGACTTCGACTTTCTGACTCATTTAGAAAGCTACAACAATGCTTCTTTAGCCCACAACTTTTTTTCAAGCTCAAAACTTAGAAATTTAACATCTACTATCTTTGTGTTAGTCCCATAAACCCCAATACTAGAAAGTAGAAAATAGGTAAAATAGGGAAAGTGAGTAAAAGAAAAGCAATAGAATTCCTAAATCCCTAACAACAAAATAGAAATGGAAAATAGAATTAATTAGGATGTAAATGGATAAGCCTTTTTGTTTTTGTTGTTGAGCACCTCATTCGTTTTCAACGTAACTAGACAATTTAGTAACAACGATGTAGAAAAAGTAAACACTGAAATCAATGTACCTAATTTCTCTTTGAATTCTTTCTAGCTCTTCTTTAAGCTCATTGATTCCATGCCTTAGGTTCTCAATTTGTGCCAAAGTCCTGAAACAATGACTTTAGTGACTTTTTGAATTGTATTATAGGTCTTTCTAACATTTTCATAAACAAAAATATTACCTTGCATCATGTTCTTAAACAAAAATATTATCCTGCATTTGGGGTGTCCCTCAATTTTTCTATTTTCCTTGTTTAATACTTTTAGGATGGAAATATATTGTCGTGAAAAGTCAAGTTTGATGTTAAATTGTCAAAATTGCAGTCAAAAAATTGATCGTGAAACCTTTCCTTGGCTGTCAGTTATGTCATGGAGATGGGGAAGAAGAAGATGGTATTTAGGTGTAATAGTTAATGAGTACTTTAGGAATTGCAATAGAATTTTCTATTGACTTTACCGAAACTCAAACATCAACGTTGTTGGATTAGCAGTAGGGGTGCATGTGTTATAAATTTCTCAAGCGAAAGGTCTTTTTGTAGTTTTGCTAAAATTGAGAGTTTGTTTGGTTATTTGGCTAAATCTCAAGCAAAATAAATGTAATTAACCCTAGAACAAAATTACAAACGACACTTCTATTACTTATTTATTTCTTTATTTTTTTAATTTCCCTACATTAAATGCTAGACTTGTAGATTTGGAAAACTCAAAATTCTTGATTTGTACTAGGTGGAGTGCCCGCGCATCGCGCGGTGTTTGGTCCTTGTGGGGAAGGAGGTTTTTTTATTGAACAAACAATAATGCATTGTGAGAAGAAATAAAATTTAGTATGAAAAGATAAACAATATAATCAATCAATTCACACGGCGTTACTAAAAACTGTATCAAATTGAAGGTCGTTGATAATGCAGAAAGGCATAACAACATAGAAAGCTAACCTTATTCTAGAATCTCCACCGAGAGCTCTTATTTGCTATTGCTGCAAACCTATAAAATTATAATCAACCCAAACCAATTGGGGTTAGGCAACGCGATAAGAATTACTAATTGTAGGTACTAAGAACATACCGACAAAATTAAGGGAGGAACTGAAAAATTGGGGGGGGGGGAGAAATCTAACCTTACGTTGAACCACCAGGAGTAGCTGGGACTGAAGAGCATTCTGAGCTGATTAGCATGAAGTCAGGTAGAATTATTTCAATCCTAGAATGCGAATAGGGAGAAACTGATAATCAACCGTTTAGGTATTAATATTAGACAATTATACGACCTGAAAATATGATACAAATCTAATACGAAATTAATGGATTTGGGTTAAGGTTTCGCATGTTCGGGTCAGAATCGGGTCGAACCTGATGGATCCGGAAAGAAAATGAGTCGAATTCGGGTCAACCCGTGAGTGACCTGATATGACCCGATAACCAGTTTTATGAATTAAAAATAATTTAATAAACATAAAAATTATTTTATCTAACTAAACTAAGTTATTCTTTTTTTCCAAAGGCATTAATCACTTAGTCCTAAATGAATTTATTTAACTTATGTGAAGTTGAAATTATTATATTTGGACAAATAATGTATTATATTATTTTTTACTTTTATACTATTTAATTTATTTTATATTGGTTGGGATAAAATACTTTTACAGTGTTTTAATTTATTTTAGATTTGATTTGGGATTATTTATTTAAATTTTTATTACTTGATTATGTAATTAGTCTTGTACAAAATTAGAAATTATAGTGATAAATTAATAAATAAAAATTAAGTTTCGAGTCATTTCGGATCGACTCGCCAATTCGAAATTTTCAGATTCGTATCAGATATTCTGACCCATTTCGGGTTGGCGAGTCCGGTTCAGGTCAGCGGATTTTCTGTTATACCCGGGTCTCAATCCGATCCGCCAATCCGAAACGGACCTGATTGCCACCCTAATTAACATACCAACGGTTGAACAATTGAATTGAGTGTAATTAATGACGAAATAATAGGTAATTTCAGAGTTGATCTTAGATGGAAGAGAAAACGATAAGGCAAATCGTTGTAAGCAAAGGCAAAAAGGGAAAATTTAACTCCTGAAATTGAAAGGGAATAAACTGACCAACGTTTGTGACTCATAAATGCAGATTATAAATGATAGAGAAATGGGTTCCTACCATTGATAGAGAAATCGTTGGCTCATTTCCTAAATCCGATTGCCATTCAAACGCTTCAGACAAAGTAACATCTCAAACGGTTATTGCGGCTGAAAAGGGAAATTATTGGTAGTTAAGGGATATTCCGGTAATTACACCAACACACAAGCATATATGGGTTGTACAAAATGCAAAAATGGTTGCACACTAATTAAACATTCCATCAATACCCAGATGGCTCATCAATGACAACTTTAAATGTATTAAAATGGGGTCATTTCAGTAAACATACCCAAATACATGCTTCCTTAACTTGTACCTAAAGCTTTTAAACTTATACACAATATTTCACATTCCCAGAAAGCCCCCACTTATGCGGTTGAAATTCAACCTATTCTTTGACCAAAACTCAATCTTATATAATATAAGGATAAGGAAATAACATTAGTGCTATTAGTATTTAAAGGATGATTACTATTTATGATTAAGATACTAACACTTCAGCTAATTTAAAAAACACCAAAACATTTTATAGAGTATTTGTGTTACGGTGTAAATTTTAATGTATGTGAATTCAAATTTTAGGTAATTTCTTAATTATTCAAACAAAGAATTTGGGATTTCAAATGAATTACGTATTAATTCTATGCCTTTCCCAAACAAAAAAAAATATCAATTATTTGAAATTCCAGTTCTACAGAATTTCTATTCCAATTCAATTCTAATTTTATAGAACAAACGCAGCCTTAGTATTTTCATGCGTATTCACCATATCCTCTCTGCTAAAGCTTTCTCTTTCTGTCCACGGTCCCTTTTCTCTGCGATTCAAGAAATGTTACTGAGAACAAAACTCAACACCTCACCTACAAACACATAATCCCCCTTATCCGCTCGCTCTCTTACCTCAATCCTCAGCCTCAGGTGTCCCAGCAGCAGCAGCCTTCTTCTCTACGCGACAACAAGATCCATACTCCCTCCTAAAAGAAGAACCGATTCAAATCCTCGCGGACCTCTGGGTCAAAACGTTCTCCCAACGCCAACAACCAAAGCCCTTCACCAACCTCACTGGTTTCCTCTCAAAATTCGATCTCTGGGTCCTCGCTTACCAGAGAACTTGCGCCCACGTAAGCGGCACATTCCCACCTCGTAATGCTCTTCACTCGGATGTTCTGTGCGACGTGTTGTCACTGAGAAACGCCGTGGTTCGTAACAAGTTTTCATGGAACTGCAAGACGCATCAGTTTATTCGTGGCCCCAATGAAAAACCCCTCACCAAGTTACTCTCGAGACGCCAACTGAACCCAATTTTGACGTCCAAGAATCCACCGTTTCAAGATCGTGTTGTGCAGGAGGTACTCTTCATGATTCTGGAACCCGTTTTTGATCCACGGTTTTCATCCAAATCACATGCTTTTAGGCCTGGGAGGAATGCGCATACGGTTATTAGGACTCTTAGGAGTAACTTTGCAGGATACTTGTGGTTTTGAGGGCGATTTAAGTCCAATTCTTGATGAGGTTGATGTAAATGTGGTAATGCGATGCATTGAAAATGCTGTGAAAGATAAGAAAGTTCTGAACTTGATAAAATCTGGTTAAAAGGCGCTGTAAATAACTGTTTAACTGACGTTGAATGTGAAGGGAAAATGAAGAAGAGCAAGAGGAAAAAAGGGCGGACAAAGAAGAGAATCTTGAGTGAGAATGAGCCAAAGCCAGACCCGTATTGGTTGAGAACGTTTTTCAATTTTGCACCTGAGGAGGCTGCAAAGGTGCCGAACTATGGATATTGCGGGATACTTAGTCCTTTGCTGGCTAATGTGTGTCTGAATGAGCTTGATCAAATGATGGAAGAGAAGATAATTGAGTTCTTTAAGCCCTGTGAACAAGATTCCTATATGGAAGTACTCGATAGAAGATGGCTATCATAACCCTTCTTGGCCGGAGTTCGTTCCATCTGGTGGGAAGGAGAAGACGAGGAAGATGGATTACGTTAGATTTGGGGGTCATTTTCTAATTGGGATTCGGGAACTAGAGAGGAAGCAGTGGGAATTAGGAAGGATATAATTGAGTTTTGTGAAAACAATTTTGGCATAAGGCTAGACAATTCCAAATTTGAGATTGAGCATATTACTAGGGGAATTGATTTTTTGGATCACACACTGTGTCGTAGGATCATATATCCTACTCTTCGTTACACTGGGACAGGTGGAAAGATAGTCAGTGAGAAAGGTGTAGGAACTCTGCTTTCAGTCACAGCTAGTTTGCAGCAGTGCATTCGTCAATTTAGAAGGCTCGAGTTTGTGAAAGGTGATAGGGACCCAGAGCCACTCCCTTGCACCCCAATGCTTTATTCGGGACAAGCTCATACTAATTCTCAAATGAACAAGTTCCTTGAGACCATGGCAGACTGGTATAGATATGCAGATAACAGAAAGAAAATTGTTGGGTTTGTGCTTATGTCATTCGAAGTTCTCTTGCTAAACTTTATGCTGCCAGGTATAGATTGAAATCTCGTGCCAAAGTCTACAAGATTGCTACACGTGATCTTAGTCGTCCTTTGAGGGAGAGTAGTAATAACTCTGCACCTGAGTATTCAGATCTTTTGAGGATGGGGCTTGTTGATGCTATTGATGGTGTACAATTTTCTCGCATGTCTTTGATTCCTTCATGTGATTACAGTCCATTCCCTAGGAATTGGATCCCAGACCATGAGAAAGTGTTGCATGAATATATCAACTTACAAGATCCGAAGTTCTTTTATGAACTGCAAAAATCACTCAAGCAACAAGTTCTATCATCACCCCAAGATGACATGTCTGAGATTGTGTGGAGTTGCAAGACACTTGGTATCCAAAACTACTGCCTTAATGGTGCGACAGAGGTGCATGATGCTTCTCCAACAGTTAGAAGGTGAATAAGAAAGCAATTTGATCGCTGAAAATAGAATTTTAGTGATGCTGCTTATTGTAAAAGGACTATTGAGCAAAGCAGATAGTGCTTTCCACAACTTCAGGTTGATACTTCTAAAGTTGGACTTCACTGCTTCCTATAGTATGAGTTATGCTTGAATGAACTTGTGTCCAGTTTTAAATGGCTGTTACAAAGGTGGATAGATGGACATTGGAGATCAGATTTTCTGTTGAAATATTACAATCTAGTTATTCAGTTGATTTGGTACAGGGTTGGGCCCTTGAAAGGGAGGTGGAGTACCTACCAAACAGGTTGTCGATGGATTGATTTGATGTGCCTAAAAGTAACTTGATTCTACATATAGGTTGAAATTGATGTTTATTATCATGTAGTAATTTGTTACATGTTATGAAGTGTGTGGACTGGACTGTTAATTATGTGAGTTGTCGTAGCTGTTCACATACCAAGTGAAGGTTAGTATTGCTAGATGTATAGAAGTCAGATGATTCTTTGATAAAAGTGCCCAATCAAATGGAAGGTAATTAGTTTAAGGAAGTTGACTGTCTATAATACATATACAGATTTCGAATGTATACTCATGAATCTATTGATATCCTTGTATAACTCACTAGTGCCCCTTTTCAACAGTCTGAAAACGAATCTGAGAGGCGAAGTGACAGGCTTATCTTACCTACTCAAAACATTCTGTGCATCCAACTGCCAAGGGTAAGAGTTCAGGGATTGATATGTTACATATGTACACTATTGGTTGTTAGTCACCAATATTTTCAGAATGTTACATAAATTTTGGGTGTTTGTTTCCACAAGTATGCAACTTCCTTGACACAGTTATATGAAAACTTATATTTCCTCAACAGTTTCCAGAATTCTTCTAGTGGCGTTACCGCATGCTTAAGAAAAATTTTGATAACCTGGTTTTGCATGGAGTCCTGTAGTTGTACGTGGTGCCTGGTGTTGTGGGTGCTGCTTGTAGAATTTGTAGCTTTTTTAGTACTAACAGTTTATGATGTCTATTATTTATGTCCGTGGGTTTGGGAGACAACTTACACAATGTCATCAGTAATGTTGCTTCAAATTGCTATATAGAAATAAGGCAAAAGTTTAAGGAAACAGCAACAGCAATAAAATAAGTTGTTTAGAAGAAACATAATTGAAAGTGAACTTTTTGTTCAATATATGAAGCAAATCCTTTAACAAAATTTACTTTATTATGCATATGCCTATATCTTTCCTTTGTTTGAGCAACTTGGGGATACTGTTATTGCCCAAAGGATAGGTATATTATTCCATGCATACAATTTGTGTCCACTTTCCAGTTATAAAGCTAATTGTTTGTGTTGTTTATACCCTTAATCGGTTATTGGCAATTCTTGAGACCGCCACAGATTAGTTAAATTTTCACTATAGGTGCACTTATGTATAGAAAGACAGCCTGCATTTCTTTACCTCTAAGCTGAGGGAAAGCACATTAAGCATGTGCTGAATGTTTTGCATTTTCAAATTTAGAATTATTCTGTTCTTGTGAATACATTTTTGTATGGGTATGGAAGAAATCTTGAAGTTCTTAGACTCAAGACAAAATGATGGCCCAGGTTTTATTCTTTTCCACCGGTGACCAAATTCCCAAAAGCAGCAGTTGTTGCTGCTGTTAGTTGTTGTGAATGTGTTGTTCCAGTTGGCTGGCCTCTCTTTTCAGGTATATTTAGCACCTGATCCCTTTAAAGTGTTCCTAATCTATACAATCTAGCTGTACGGTTTTCTCTTTTTGTACGCTTAGAATATTTGTTCTGTTGTGTACACTGATTTCTTGTGGGAATAGATCAATCATAAAACTGAATTAAATTAGCTTTATCTCTGAGAACTAAAGTTAGTATTGGAATAAAAAATTTAGTATCAATGATACTGCTGGCTTCTTTGGGAATTTATGGATACTAAAATTTGTAACTGAGCTTATTGGTCCACTTTGATGTTAAATTGGTTGCTGTGCAAAAGGATATTGTAGATTCAGGTAAAATGGCATTTGTTCTTGTTTGAACCCCAAAAAACCCAAAATAAATAAATAAATTAAACTCAACCCTGGAACAAGATGTCTAATTATTCCTACATCTATGTGATCAGTTTTTTGCTGCCTCTAATGTGTTGATCTCCTTTTCTATTATAATCTGGTTCATCATGGATGGGAATGTATGATTGAGTTCACGATTAACTGCTTTGATTTCTCACTTGATATATGGTTGAATAATCTACTTTCAATTGTTCAAAATCTGAGCAGTAAAATTTGATGAAACACATAATTCTAGATGCAAATTGGTTTTTTTCTGTTTTCCTATTCTGATCTGTTCTGTATAAAGTGCTGCCATATTCCATATGAAGGATAAGAAGAAGCATGTTTTGCAGTTTTGGAAGAGTATTCCATCCTCCATATTCTCAATGAATTGTATTACTTTGAAGTTTTGGTGCAGGAAAGGTAAATGCAGCTTGATATTGGCTAAGCCTTCTCCTTCCAATAGGAACTTCTTTCAATCTAACTGATTAAGTGGATTTCTATTCGAGTTCTTCCTTTTTGTGTATACTGCACAATCTGTGGTAAGTAGGAAGTATGATTTGTCGCATTGGTTGGGTACATCTCTTCCTATACTAGACCATGGAGCGGGAATGGTGAGTTATTTCTCAGCAATTATATTCAACATTTATAACATACTAGTTTCTGCTATGAACCTTGGACACGTCAAGATAATGTTGATAGCCATCTAGGTACTCATATGAACTTGAAGTTGGTGATCCCACTATGCTACTCTCCAGTTCTTCCTTTTTGGATATACTGCATAATCTATAGTAAGTATGATTTGTGGTGTTAGTGGGGTACATATCTTCCTAGACTAGACCATGGAGCAGGAATGGTGAGTTATTTCTCAGCAATTATATTCAACATTTATAAATTATAGTTGACATTTTTAACTTACTAGCTTCTGCTATTAACTTCAGTCACTTCATGATAATGTTTATAGCCGTCTAGGTACTCGTATGAACTTGAACTTGGTGACACCAATATGCTACACTCAAGACCCCAAGCTTGACCTCGATGGGTATAGGTTAATGGTCTCCTTACCAACTCTGCTTCATCTCTCTACTTAGAATAGCATAATATACCAAATTCCTTTCATTCTGGTTTTCTTCATTGTTTGTTCTGTATTTCATATTATCATCATAAAACCTGTTCTACTGGATTTTCTAACAGAAAGCCTGTGAGATTTCTTTGGACTTGCATTTCTTTAGACTAAAAGGTGTCCTGACATGTAATTGGAGGACTTTTAATGTATTCTTACACTAAGACAAGGATGCTTCACAATGATTTAACTTAATCTTGGGTGCTGGCAGGCAAAGGAAACATGCACAAACTTTTTCTTGTTTTGTGTAAGCTAATTCTTTAAGTTTCGGTATGTGAGTGTTAATCCTCCCAATTGATGTCAGAATTTTGAACATCTGAGTTGTTGGAGTGGTGAATATTACATACTTGGAGCTAGAATTCCCATCTGCTTCTTGAAGTTCCCGTTGTCGAATGCTTGTCTTTCCTCTTGCTTCACTATTTTGAATACTTCAGCATTGCAGTGTTAGAATGAACTTCACCAGATTTTTTTCACTGCTCTGAGCTGTTTTCTTCTTGTTTGCATGTAAATTCAAGGAAAGGATGCACCTGGATGTAAAGGGTAGAACCCCAAGTATTTTAAAGTGCTCTCTCTGGCACTCAGTGCCAAAATTGTCAAGGAAAGAGAACGCGGATTTAATGCTTTGTTATAATGTGCCAAAATTGAGGAGCTTCTTGCAATTATCATGAACCTCAAGAGTGGCATGCAAAATTATCCCGAGGGATAATTATATTTGACAGTGGGCAAAACTCACGATGCAATCGTCAAGTAAAACTCCCCTACATCACGTGTCAATTAGTCTGTAGTATGGAGACCCTTTTATTTATTTTTTTTACAGGGAATATTGATCGTTTAGAAGAATTTTGTTTAATGCCCGCAGGATTGATCACATTGTTGTAAAATGGAGAGCCAAAAAATAAAGAGCTAGAGGAATGGATGGATTAATTAGTATCTGTTTCAAAATTAGGGGTCTGCTGGGGAGTGTATTTTTTGGGAATATATGACACAAGTTTTTTGTAAACTTTGTCGCGGTAACCTCAGAAATATCCCAAAATTTTTAAAATATACATCCCAAAACATCTTTCCATTCCTTTCATTGGGGGAGAAGAAGGAAAAAGAAAAGGAAAATAAAAGAAAATTAAAAATAAAAAAAGTTCACTTTCTCAACAAAAATTTTTCTACGAATTTTACAGTAAATTAGAATAAAGTTTTATATAAATATCCCAAAAAATACACAAATATTAAAAAAAATACACCATTGAAATGGACACTAGGATGAAAAAAAATTAGTTAGTTGTACGTATAACTTGACTGTTGGTATAGAACTTTCAGTCTAACATGTACTAGACAACTATTTCACTTTGTCTTGTGGATAGCTAAGCGCATTCATTAGATACGATTGGCAATTTATTAAAAAAAAAAAAAAAAGGGCTCTCTATCTGATATTTGACAATTGTGTTTGTTTTACTTAATAATAATATCATGTTTGCAATAATGCGAAAAGGTCTAGCTCCTGTTGAAGAAAGATGGGATAGAAGAAAGATGGGACAAGGTAATGATTCAAGATGAGTGCAAGTTGGTAATTGATATGATTAACTCAAATGAGATCATGGATTATCAAGTGGGGCCAATCATCGAAGATATCATGGCTATGAAGAGCAGGTTCCAATATATCTCTTTTACTCATGTTAAGAGATTAGGAAACAATGCGAGTCATTTGCTAGCCAAGTTTGCTATGAAACTATGTAATGTTGTTAGATGGAAAGAGTGTTTTCTCCTTTAATTGTAGTTTGCTAGAAGCATCCCAGTGTGATGGATGTTAGGACAGTGGCCCAAACCATGTAATTATTATTCCAAGTGATATGAAATTGTTGCCGTTTTAGAAACCGAAAAAAAAAATTCGTGTTTTAATTAGCTTGACCTTTAAGGATGATTGCATAGTTTATATTTTTCTTTTGACTAGAATTCTAAAATTGCTCGATTATTTGGTAAGAATCAATTTTTTTTTTCGAAACAATATTAGTAATATATTGATCATCAACTGAACTTTACAGTTGGAGCAAAGATCCCTCATTTCTATACAAAAAGTGCTCAATAGCACAGAAGATTGATCCATTCCTCATCTGTATGATGCCTAAGGCATACTCACCAACTCTAATACTAACATGGTTATCATTTTTAGATATAACACCAAAAGAGCACATTTGAAACAAGGCTTTCAAGCTAAGAATATCATCAACTAAAGTATACAGTTTGATATTTGATGCACTTCTGGCACAAATTTGTTGATGTAGGAGTTTGTTGCAACTCTGAATGATGACTTTTCTCTAGCCTTTGACGACTAATTTACTCAAAGCTATCTTAATAGCCTCAGCCTTGTCCAATTGTGGACAATTGTAGCTTCTTTCATGTATTGCCTAGGCTGCCACAATAACATTTCCTTCAGTCATGGCAGTCACTCCTATACCAACCACTTACTGCTCGGTTTGTTTAGTGCAGCAATCTTAACTTCGATCACCTCTGCATTCTCTTCTTCTATCCTTTGCATTTGGTTAGCAGCAGTTTCTGTTGTACTCCCTTGCTCCTTATCTTTGTAGGCTTCGCAAAACTCCATCCATTCCTCTTGAGCTTTTAGTATTGTTGTCATTGCATGCCTTTGTTTGTTGTTGAATGCCAACTCATTTATGCTTTTCCATAGTTGCCATAAGATGTTAACTATTAGACCAAGGTGTTCATTACCATTCTGCCTAGATTTACTCCTGTAATTTAGCCCACCAAGCCTTAAAACAGCCTTGTTTATCCTTAGCACTTTCCCATTGTACTGGTGCTATATGCCATACCTGCTTGGCCTGTCTGCAGTCCAGTAGCACATGTTCCACAGTCTCTACCCCTTCACCACATGCTTTACAGATGGGATCTCCTTTCTTAGTCCTACCAAAGATTACTTCATTGACTAGGAGAGCATTATTGATGCATTTCCACATGAAGGTCTTTAGTTTATGTTTGATGCTTAGTTTCCATAGGCAAGACCACATCTGTTTTACTGAATTGTGTGTACTAGTACCAGCCTCCTTATAGCCATCCCTTTCTTGGGTTTCCTTCTCTTTCATGAGTGCCTTGTATCCAGTGCTACTGTGTACTGCCCGTAGGAGAATGCATCCAGAAATTATTGTCCTCCTTTCCTGCTAAGCTGATAGGAATGCTTAGGATCCTTTCTGCATCCACACTATTAAACCTTCTGAGCACTTCCACTCTATTCCACCTCTTCTGAATGATTAAGTCTTGAACTTTCTGCACTTTAAATTGTGGAGGTTTGGGAGTTGAGGGCCTTCCTCCTTTGTTTCCTACTATCCACTTGTCCTCCCAGATATCTATCCTAAGACCATTTCCAATTTTCCTCCAGGTGCCATCCTCAACAAGCTGTTTAGCTCCCATTAGACTCTGCCAGATCCATGAAGCATTTTGTGGACTCTTGCATTTGAAGATGGAGCCAGTAGGGTAGTATTTTGCTTTCAGTACCTTGGAGATAAGCAAGTTTGGGTTTACAAGTAATCTCCAAATTTGCTTACCAAGCAAGGCTCTGTTAAAATTGACCAAGTCTTTGAACCCAAGTCCTCCTTGATTCTTCTTTTGGGTCATTCGCTTCCAGGAGCATAGATGCATCTTATCCTTTCCATTAGTGTCTCCCCACAGAGCTTGCCATTAGAGCACTGATCTCCTTGCACAGTTTCAAAGGTAGTTTAAAGCATAACATAGCATAAGTTGGCATTGATAAAGTCACTGCTTTTAACAAGACCTCCTTCCCTGCTTGACTTAGCAATCTCTGCTTCCATCTTCCAAAATTCTTTTTAATGTTGTCTCTGATGAATCCAAAGATTTGTTCCTTTGTCCTTGTTATCACCATTGGTAGCCCTAGGTATTTGCTTGGTTGACCATCTGGATATTCCCCAGTCTGCAGCAAACTTCTAGCTTTTTCCCATGGTCCATATTTTTGCTGAAGAAGACAGAAGACTTTTCCAGATTGATTAGCTGTCCAAAGCTCTTTTCATTTGCCCACCAGGATCCTCCTCAGCTCCTCAGCTTGTTTGGTGTCTGCTTTACAAAATATTAAGGAGTCATCTGCAAAAAATAAATGTGTTAGTCTAGGACCATTTCTACTGATTTTGAGTCCAGTAATCTTCTTGTCCTCTTCAGCTCTTTTCAACAGATTTGATAAGCCTTTGAGCACAGTAGGAAGAGATAGGGTGAGAGAGGATCACCCTGTCTTATTCCTCTCTCTGGAACTATATATTCCTTAGCCTCACCATTTATGTTGAAAGAATAAGAGACTGATTCAACACATTTCATAATCCAGCTAATCACCTGCTACTGAAACCCTTTTTTGCATCATGGCCCTCAAAAAATGCCATTCCACTCTATCGTAAGCTTTAGACATATCAAGCTTAACAGCCATGTACCCTCCTTCCCTTGCCTTTTATTTTTCAGAAAATGCATGTATTCATGGGTTATGATAACATTGTCTAGGATCTGCCTACCAGGAATAAAAGCAGATTGGTTTTGCTAATACAGATATTTAACACAGCTTTAAGCCTATTAGCTAGTATTTTGGAAATCACTTTATAAAGCACATTACACAAGCTAATAGGCCTATAATGCTTCAGATTGACAGGATCTTTAATTTTTGGGATGAGGGAGATTAAGGTAATTCAGGGCTCTAGGCATGGAATTGGAATGAAAAAAGCTCTGGATAGCCTGGACTACCTCATGTTTGATAATAAACTAGAATTTCTGGAAAAAAATAGGGGTCATACCATCCATCCTAGGAGCTGTATCAGGAGACATAGAGAAAATGGTTGCTTTGATTTCTTCTTCATCAATACCTCTAGCCAGTTGATCATTCATGCTAGCCGTAATGTGGATGGAATACCTCTAAGGATCTCCTCTGCTCTACCATTCCAATTACTAGTGAAGAACTGCCTGTAGTAATCTGCCACTTCCTCCCCTAACTCTTGCTCATTCTCGTCCAAGATCCATCTTCCCTTTGTAGATTCAACATTCTGTTTCTCCTCCTCCTTCCCTTGACATGAGCATGAAAGAATTTAGTATTCTTATCCCCCTCCTTTATCCAGTTAAGTCTAGCTTTTTGGTGCCAATACAGTTCCTCCTCCTTGTAACCCTTTTCAACTGCTCTTTCAGATCCATTATCTCTCTTCTGGTGCCAGTCTGAGTGCTAGACTGAAGCTTCTCCAACTAACTTTTGAGCTGATTGATCTTCTTTTTAGCATTGTAATTGGAGTTATTTTTCCACTTTAATAATTCAATTCTGCAGTTTCTGATTTTGCATTTGACCCTAAACATTCTTGATCCCTCACAATCTTTTCCCATGCATTTCTGATCACATCCTGGATCCCTTCTCTCTTTAGCCAGCTCTTGTCAAAATAGAACCTTTTTTTTCCTCTTCCTAGTCTCTGGATTAGTATCTATCATTAATATGCTGTGGTCAGAT